CTCTTATCTTTCCTTCAACATCAGACGTAGCAGAATCAGCAAACCTTCTCGTTTGAGACCAATCTATGTCATGTTCAGTTTCTAACATGTATTCAGCCACTTCTGACCGCTGGAGTCAGCCTAATTTTCAAGCATTCTTGTGTTCTCCCAGTTTTTGTCGAATTTGTCGAATAGGTCGGCATGTCTCATCAACATAACATCGACCACATGAGCAGACAATCTTGTAGCATGTTGGAGTTTGAAGAGGCGAGTGCCAGAGCTTGTGGAGCAGTTGCCTTGGAGCTGTGTTTGTAGAATTGTTAGAATAGGATTGTTGAGCTAACCTTCATTTCGAGTGACAGTGTTTGGTGAAAAGATTCGAAGGTCGCTTCCACCAGAAGACGACGGCCGATCCTTCTTGACCAGCTGTCGATTGGCTTTACTGGAACCTTCATGTTGACGTTGTTTCTGAGGCTGTTTCCTTCGATTCCGGTGAAAAGGTGCTAAGCTTTCGTGCGTCATGTGATGATTATCATCATCAAAACAAAATTCAAGCGAACGAGTCAATAAAACTGACGACAACTCAGCACGTTTGCACCGGAATCGAAAGAGATTGCTTTGGAAACAGTGTCAACATGAATGTCATCTGGTGGAACCGACTTCGAATCTCTTCATCCAACACTTTCACCCGAAATGGAAGTAAGCCCAACAATAATGAAACAAGAGATTGCTCGAAACCCAACTTTTCTTCGCATAGAATAGGATTGAATAGGGTCGCAGAGCGCTGCACCGAGGACCCATTCTCACAAATCTACAACCAAGGCAACCCCTTCATGGCGGCCGGTGGAACCAACTTACGAATCCCTTCCAATCGCCTCTTCACCAACGAAATAAAAGTCATCCGGATCTCGACAATGGGTCATATTTCTCAGCCCGGTTGGAGTCGACTGCCGTTTCAACCTCGTCTATGTCTTATCAACACCCTAAACGCGGGACTCGAACCCTGACACTGTGGCACATAATCTCTACGCCACATTTCCACGAGTCTCCTTGAACCACAGGGCAGATGTGAATTTCAAACTGACGACCGAAAGCAGAGGTTAGGTGCTTTTTAAATCACCATTGCTGGTGTTTTATGCCCTTGTGCACACTTGAAAGCGCATACGCACATGTTGCCAGATTGACATGTGACATGAAATAACCAAACCGGTCTAAACTTCACCAAAATGTGTGTGTCTGTGTGTGTGTGTGTATACATATACATAATGTGGGTGTAATCGGGTGAGCTGTCTTGACTGGTCAGATTG